CTTCCAATATTCTCTTTTTTTCTCCCAAACAAATTCGTTCCTCAAATAAGCGTCTTCACATGTCAATCGTCCTTCAACAACCGTTTAACATTTCTTTGGGTCCATCCGGTTGTTTACGGTGAAGTTGTAAACTCGATGACCACTGTGGCTCATCATCTCCACACGTGTACAACTAAAGAGTAAAAATTCTGCACTAGAAGCCATCAATTTTTGATTTTTCTTTATCCTTCAATTCAGGTAAATCGAACATACAATTGTTCAATAGCATTTAAACAAACAAGAGTTAATTTTTCTTTCTATTTGGAGTCCACTCTAATTGTTCAATAGCTTTTAAACAAACAAGAGTAAGTTTTTCTTGTGATTTCTTCGATTAAAATCATGTTTTCCTTCATGTTCATCGTTTTCAGTTGAAGATTAGGTTTTCTGATTGGCTTCTAATAAAACTCAACGATGGACTAGTGACTCCTTTGATCGATAAAAAGAGTACACCTATGATTCGATTTCAATTCCAATTACCTTCAGTTGTAACGATTAAGGTATCGTCCCCAGGTTTTTTTTTTCACTTTTCTATTGTGTAATTTCATTCCATTTTATCTTGTACTTACATTTCTTTCTCCTTTTACTTTGATTTTGTTTATGTGAATTGAATTTCTAAGTCTTTAGCTAATAATCGATTAGAGTTGTTAATTTTTGGTTACTAATCATTTTTAATCACTAGCTAATTAGTAATATTTGATGTTTTTGCTGTGAAATTCTACTTATTTACTTTTACTTCTTTGTGAATTGTGAGTGGCAAGTAATATTGAATACTAATACTCTAAAAGTCTATGGAATTGTATAGAAAGACCGATTTTGTTGGCATGAATTCCTGATGATTTAATCATTCTTTTTCAGAACATCAAGGAGCAAAATGATGAATGATGAAGCAATAGTGCTTTTACCCATTTACACCCCTATTTTCCAACATTACCCCTATATTGGCCACTCTAATTCCATGTTATTTAACATTATTTTTTGTGAATTGTCACTAATGAAATTATTTTATCGCCGTTTTAGTTATGTATGTCAACATGTTCTTGCAAAATTGGAACCACAAGAGATTGAAGAAGTCAAGGTCAGACCTCATAAAGAGATCTTAATACACAGTTTTCTTATTTTTTTTTTCTTACACTTGGATATAACTGCAGTCTGCTAAACGCTATCTTTTCCATGATAAGACACTCCCATCTTTCTTCTGGGATTTTTTCTTGTGCCTACTGTAAGAGTTAAATTAACCATTTTATTTTTGTGATTTTTTTATCTTGAAAAAAATATTTATTAATCACAGAAATATAAACCAAGTGTATGTGTATATGTTTGTGTTTTGTTTTGGTTTTTTATGTTGCAAATGTGATTCTTATGCAGGTTCTTACAAACTCTCATCCACTGTGTGTTGCATAACAAGCTTCATTTTTATACAGGTTTTATTTGATAAAAATAAATATGTTACTAGAATTGCAACTAATATCATGGAAATTGGGAAAGATTGCTCGAAAGAGATAATTTTCTTTAACGTGTGTAACGACCGAAAAATACAACCAATTTAAATTTTTCAAAAACAACCCGATTTCATTAAATTGTTTACAAAAAGGTTTTCAATACAAATCATTTAGAGTATTCCCAGAATCACATTACTACAAAATCATGAGGAGCGGTACGATCACGCCTTCGCCTTGCCACAGTGTGACAACCCCAAATATATTGCCGTTACAAACCCTATTTTCACTAACGGAATGCGTCACTATATGTTATTTCTCGGTAATGTTTGGGTCGTCAATAAACAAATATCTAATTATTTATATGTTCCGGTATTATCATAAGTAATTATAACTTGTAAATGTTAACCCCGTTTAACTAAATAGAGTTATATTACTTTTCAACCACTTCACCCGGGTAAAAAGTTTTAACCCCGTTAAACTTTAGCATCGGGTAGCCGTGTATCGGGTGCAATACCCGAGACATATAAAAACGATTGAACACTACAATTGAACTCTTTTACCACACCTTCACCTCTCTCTCACTACTTTCTCTCTCTAGACCCGAAATTGACCCCAAATTCGCGAATTTCTGACTTCCAAGCGTAAGGACTCATTCCCTATCTTAATCTAAACATACTTTACTGTATTTAGAGTCCAAAATCATAGAAAACAAGGAACAAAAAGGAGTTTACGGCCTAAGAAGCCCCTTAGGCCGTAAACCCCTAAAAACATGCCAAAAACCTCATTTTTCCTTCCTTTAAGCTTATGGACTAATTAAGGCATATACCTAGGAGAGTTTGGACACTAAAACACAAGGAATTGAAGCTTAAAAAGGAGTTTACGGCCCAAGCTTGTGCTTAGGCCGTAAACACCCCAAACACCCCAAAAACCCTTGTTTAAAGTCCCAAAAACTCATCTAGGGTGTTTGGTAATTTAGACTTGACACTAAGGAAGGTTTAAATGCATCAAACAACATCATTTGCGGACAAAATGAGGAGTTTACAGCCAAGGCTAAGCTTGGGCCGTAAACACCCATGTTTTTGTGTCAAACAAGTCCCAAAACTTCTCTAATGCATGTAAGGAATTTAGCTAAGGCCCTTGGATGTGTGTTGTACCATTAAAGTTCCCATTTTGTCACAACTAGAAATTTTGTGTCTTGTAATCACTATACTCAAGTTCAATTCAAAAACTCAAGAGCATGTATGATGCTTACTCAATGGAAAACTAAACCCCACTT